ATAGATGAAATGGCCTCATGGGCCAGACTCAGTTCATTTTGAGCACCACTGTTATATCCATGGTCAGGCTATACTGCATAGACAATAGACTTCACATATTGTAACTTGCCCACAACAACAAATTTATTGCCTTTACATATGAACATAGAAACTGATGAGACAACATTGAATGCACAGCTAGGATATAATTTTGTGTGTGTGTGTGTGTGTGTCTATATTAGGACTTTATATATATATATGTGTACAACATCAAATGCACAGCTAGGGTATAATTTTATTTGATTATATATATAAATAACATTATAATAAATACATATAATTCAATAAAATTATAATAAATTATATAATATATATAATCAAATAAAATTATAATTATATATTATATAAAGTATATCTATATCATATAATTAAATTATAATATGTTTAATAAAATAAAATTATAACCTAGCTGTGCATTTGATGTTGTATACATAGATACACACACACACATATATATATTAAGTCCTAATTCTAAAATCAACCAGGCACTTACTTCTTGCAAAGCAAGGTATCAGAATCTGGACTGAACTCCCCTTGTTCACAAGGCAGTTGTCTTTGGACACAAATGCTGAATCCCCGAGTGTGGTTAGGTTCCATCACACCTCCCAGGGATAGACTCTATCCTTAGTCACTTTTAGGAAAAGGACCCTATGGGCCAGCTGTCCTGAGTGCCCAGGAACAGTGGTGGCTCCATGAGACACCCCAGTTACTCAGATACATGCACTGCAGAGTTTTACCCCTTTGGGAACTGCTTATTTCTTAGTTTAAAACCTTGAGATGTGGTACTGGAGGCAAGTAACACTTGCAATTTACAAAGTTTTACTGTTAAATCCAGTGATACATCAATCCTAGAGGAGGAAAGGGAAGTGATCACACACTACATAACAGTAGGGGATTCTCTTCCTCAGATTTCCCCCAGAACTCAGTGATTCATTTGGTTTTGGTCAGGGCTTTCAGGGTTTTTTAAAGTTTCCTCCTCCCCTGCCTGTTTGTTCTGGTTAAAGAGCAAGTTACTAAGAGCAGAAGCAACCCAGGTTCTTTTATAACCTCTGTCATTTGACACATCTGGTAATTTCCAGTTACCCTATCAGGTAATTGGTTGCTTGGGTCCCACCTGCCTGAAGTGCATACAAAAGGTTTCTTTTAGCTCTGCCCATATTTTTAGTATGCATTGCCAGTGGAAGTCATTCATTGCTAGTAACTCTAAATTGTTTGGTATTGTTCACTGTGCAGTAACCTGTTTTTGAATTTTAGTCCAAGATGGAAGCAAAAAGACTACAGGGATGGTTCAGTGCTGTCTTACAATCAAAATGATGCTGAGTTTGTAGTTTGACATATATGCCTCCAGACACATGCTAAATTGCCATGCAAGACTGAAACATTGTCTTCCAGTGAGATGTATTGAAAATAAATTGTATGTCCTTGTCCCTCTGAAGAATGCTTGGCATCTACCTGAGCAATGACACATCTCTTGTCATAAACAAGCTGAAAATTCATACAGTGAAAGTGCTTTCTGTTTCTATCGATACGGGCACATGAGTGAAATAAAATTGATCTCGAAAGATTAAGGAACTGAACAATCACATGAACTCATTCTTTATTGTCTGCCCTCAGCAGTGGTGGGAACCACCATGTAATCATATGCATGCCCAAATGAAATGTGACAGGCATTTTTAGAGACTGAAGACTGACATTTACTGATAACAACACCATTTGCACACCAAATGTTGCTAATATACAAGACTAGCAGAGCCAGCCTGATTTCTTAGAAATGAGGTAGTACTGTATAATTAACTAGACCATATTTCTCGGTCAAACAGAACCATAAGAAATAAGCAATTAACCTTAAACTTTGTATGCACATTCGATCATCCTAATCTAGGACCCTAATTCTGGATCTGTAAACATGTCCCCCTGCATGCACATCAAAGCAACTCACTAGTACTATGGGACTTGTAAAACAAGCATTTCTATGTGTACAACTAAAGTAAAAATTGATGGTAAATTTATCATTGCCAGGGCAAAAGTACCTGAGAAGCTCGGCCCCTTGAGGCCATCTATCAGAGGGAACTGCACTCTTTTCACATGTGGGTTGGATAGCTAGCGGGGGAGAAAGTGATGCTTTAGTCCTTGAAGATTCTGCTGGCTCGATGGCTAAGTGCTTGGCTTCCGGTGCTGCTGCAACTGCACTTCAGTGATGTAAAAAGAGAAACAACTAAGCAAACTGGCTGTCAAAGGCCCAGGAGAATTGGAGGAGAAAGGACTACTGGGCCTGCCACGGTTTGGAACAGGAGGGTTTATTGGGCCCCATGGATGGCCTGATAGTGAGGGAACAGATTCCTAAACTCACATAATAGATACAGTTATAGGGGAGCAGTATGGGGCCTACAGTAGTGGCATCTGAAATTGGGACATGTCAGGTAAAATTCTTAAGTAGGAGTGGTGATTATGGTTTAGTCACCAAGTTCTTCAGAAATCAGAATACACAGAGGACAAGCAGATATCAAGAAGGGGAATTAAATAAAAACAACAATGTAGACCAGCCTTGACCAGAGTCAATTATGCTGTTGTCCTGCCCAACATCCTACAAGTCTCACACTTTTTACATTGCGCCACAAATATCTTTCACACAACGTACCTCATCAGTGACTCTCAATTCATCCTGTAAGCCCTGTAGCCTCCTGTTGCATTGCTCCCACCATTTTCTCTATCCCTTTGCAAGGAGGTGGCAGAAACATTCATCCACTACCCTTTCAAGCGTTCTGGCCTCTTCAGTAGCCAAACCATGCTTAGCAATTCCTGGCTCCCTTCTTAAATAGCCAGAAGGGATGGAGCCAAAACAGGCCCACAGCACTGAAGGCCTGATGCTGCTCAAGCACCTTTGTAATGATGTTCATGATCATGGTTCACTGCCTCTGGTATGATATAAACTAACTGTGGATTCGTTAAGGAGATAGATGACTATCTTGGGCCCCAGTGAGAAAATCCTGATTCGACTGGGGAGTTTGGACAGGGTTCAGATCCAGATCTCTATTCAATGATCAGATTTTGTCTTTGTCCTTGATAGCAGAAAAACAGAGGTTTATTGGGTTCTGTGGGGCAGCCTTACATCTGCCATAGAGTGGGGCTTTAGAACAGTCTTGATCTCTAGTAAACTATTACTACAATGGGTACGTTGGTCACTTAACCAGGTCCAGACAATGCAAGAACTGCAACCACAGGAATGATAAATATCTTGGTACACACATTAGAGGATGGGTGCTGATAGAGGGACAGAGAGATGGAAATGCCAATTTGCCTTTCAAAGTTCATGGGAGGAAAAAGTAGCAAGAAGAAGGAAGAGGTGATAAAAATTGTAGTTAGAGAACTAGTGGGAGAACATTGCTATAAGTACCTAAATGTTATGATTAAAGAGACATTACTAAATAACAACTTGAATAAAAGGAAAGCGATATTAATGGTGTACATGGAAGGAATGATTTAGAAGATAAAAGGATATAGTAAAACCATCACACAGAATGGGCATGTCTTCATCTGGATTGGTTCTTACTGTTCTAATGTCTGTATGTGTATACTTTTTAGTTCATACTTAAGGGCCATTATATATTTAGGGGTGTTCCTATAAGAATGTTGGCTTGTTTGATTTTACTAGATATGCGTATCTCTGCATTTAGGAAGTTCAGTGTTGTTATGATTAACAGCTTTGGAAACCTGTGGGCTAGGTTGGTTCTGTAGTGCGATATACATGTGTTGCCGATGTCCCTTGTGATACAAAGTTTTATTAAAAGAAATCAGCAGATGTGCAGGAGGGCGATTATATGATTAGACACAGGAAGGGTTTGGCCCTAACTTCCTTACAGGAACAGTTTCATTATAACCAAGAGTTTATACATTGCAATCAGTACCTTGAACTGAATCCAAGATCAGGCAGGGAACATGACAAGGCTTCAGTAGACTGATGTAATATTCTCCTTCCATCTCACAACATCAGCCAAGCAGCTGCATTCTACATGAATTGTGAATTCTGTATGCTTTTCAGTACAGATACATGCAGAAAACATTTTATGGGTATGTTGATATTTCTGAATCAGCAGAGTCCATACGTATATTTTACAAATTTGCAGTTATCAGCTTACATCAGATTTTAAACTTCTCAGTGCACAAAGAGGTTATGCTTCTGCCGCTTTTACATTCAGCTTTAGTCTTGAGAAAATGCAAATAGGTTGGATTGTTTTAAATGGTCTAATGTAAATAAAGAGACCATCTGCCACACACAGTTGAAAAATGCTTCCTTTCTTTCATAACATTAATTTGTAGCTGCAGCTTGTTTTGCATAAATATTTAATGAACAGAAAAGGAAAAGTATGCTGTAAAGTCCCTGAAGCGCTAGTCAAATAAGTAAAAAAAGTGAACTAGTATTTTTTTAGTCTTGGATTAGCAAATCCATACATGAAACCCATTTAAATTCTAAAAGGATGAAAATTCTACAAAAGCAAGTATTAGGAGAATGAAACATCCATTTTTAAGCAAGCAAAACAGAACCACAACCTGATTAATGAGAATGACTTGAAAGGAAACTCTGCTTTTGATAGTCCCTTGCTACTGTGAGCAGGAATATATTACCAGAGGACCACTTCTTAACCCACTAAGCACCTGGTTGTACAAACAGCTATGTGGTTATGGATCCCTGTATTTTCACAAAGACTAGTTTTGATCAGTGAGATGAGGCAAGAGCCTGTGGGTCTACTCTCATAGATACTACCCCCAAATCAGGGCATAAGTGGATAACCTGTGATTTGTAGCAAGTGCCATATTTTTTCAAGCACATATTCTATCCCGAGTGCTTTCATTTCCAAAATGTGAATAACCTATGTCAGTTTCATTTAAAAAATCCGTTACTCGAGTGTATTAATTCATTGGCATTTGTATTTGATGTTACCACATACAAAAGGACACTAAGATAATTTGCATATGTTTATTATTGTGGATAGAAATTCCATTTTCGGATGCTGTTGTGATATTGGGAAGCCAGTTAGACATTGAAAAAAAAAGACTTGAATTAACATGCTGTCTGCCCATCTTATGATTTTATGAACAATTATGCAAGATATTCTAACTGTAGCTGCAATATTCAGTTTAGGTCTTAATAAAATTCATATGCAATATAATTAGTGTGTTGCCAAATTATGAACAAAAAGTATGGATAGATCTCACACCAGAAATTAAACGTAACTTTTTATGTCATATCTTAGTCTTAGGTTGAGCTCTACATTTATCTTCCCCCAGTCTCTTTTCTAGCACTCTGAAAAAGTTGCCTAGGGAATCTGAACATTGCTTTCCTTTTTCCCATCCATTCAAGTTGTGCAACACAAAACATGTCTTGGTTAAAAAGACAATGTAAAAACAACTTTATAATAAATGGAAAATGCCACGTTCAGTGCTAAAATCTTTCCAGCTTAACATCGTATCATAAATAGTCCCTGCCTGCCCACCAAACTTGGCCATTAACTCTTGAGCCAGATCCTTAAACTTTCTGAGAGATTAGTAAGATATTGATTGCCAAGAAAAGAGCCATCCCTCAACCAAAGGCTAGCACTTGTGATCTACTAACTTGTGCCTTCTCTTAGCTTTTGGATGTTTCACTCGGAAAATTTACATGGTAAAATGCACTATGATATGAGTAAGTGAAGGCTGTTTAGTGGCTGTCCAATTTTTCATATTTTAAGGGCTAAGAAATACTAGTTTTATCATATGGAATTTTTTCTTTGCCTGTTGAAATAGATTAAAATAGATTAAGTTACCTAAGTAAAATAAGATATATTATTACCTAGTGTAAATAATCAGTTAAAGACATTACAACCATGCAGATTTAGGAGGTTAGCATTACAGCATGTGTGGATATTAAGAAGTTAAGACTTCAGCCACTAGAAAGACCCCTAAAGGTTTTCAGCACTAGCTGTGCGATGTACTGTGTAATAGCCAATTCATCCATAAACCAAAAGCTTCTCTAAGAAACCTATCCATGAGTAGCAAAGGCAGTTAGAAAAGCTAGTCTCCCCTTCTCCAAATGAAATAGTTCTATGCAAACTATGGCTTGCACCCATTGGCCGTGTCCAGAAGTGCCAGGGCATTCACTTGCAGGGGCGCAAATACTAGCAGCATAAATATGTTGTAGGACAAACTGCCCTTGTCTAGCTCCTCCTGACCCCTGGGATGCTGGAGTAGCCGGGGCAGAAATGGAGTATAGAGATACTCTGGATGACAGCCAGAGTGTCTCACTGGAGGACCAAACCTCCATTTGTGCCAGTGCACGCTATTGTAGCATGTGCTGTGCTGCCTTTTTTCCTAGCACTTTTTTTTTTGCTACCTGGAAATCCCAGTAGCAAATTTTGCCCCTGCATTGCGAATTTGCAGCATGGGCCATGTTTTAACATTCCACGCATGTAGTTTGTGGCTCTGCAAATCACATGCCCCTGCTTGTCATTGTGTCCACTAATAGAGACATTCTGTTGAGGCAACAGTATAGGTCATTCCTTGACCTGAATAACCACTTATTCATGTCACTGGCACAGGAATACAACCTACAGTTTAATAGTTGAGCACAAATTGAAAGTAGTATTGAATATTTTTTTCCCCATGGCTATTGTACACTTCTACAGAAATTTGGAAATAGCATTTAAGGGAATTTAAGTACCAACCCTAACCAAGTGTACTCCCATTTAAGTGAATTTATGTGAAAATTGTACAGAGCTGAAGTTATTTTAGACCCAGCAAATGGGAAATGACTATAATGCCCAGATTAATTCACAGTGTATTTTCATCCACCAGAATTTTCATACATTTTAAATTAAAAATCTTTAAATATTTTAAACATTAGTTTTAATTCTTATAAATCTAAGCATAGATATGTTTGCAAAATCAAAGAAAGAGTTAGGCACCTGTATAATACCTCCTCTGTCTGTCTTCTTTTAATATTGACAAAATGAAAAGGCACAAATGATTTTTGTGCAGATTAAACATTTAGACCAGCTTCAGGATACTTAAAAAAAGGACAACCCAGTAGTTCTAGATCATAGTTCTAGACCTTACACTTTCTTGGGTTGAAATTAGATTAGTTCTTGGAAGTTTCCAAATCCATTTTACTGCTCCTATTTTGTGCAGCCCAGCCTCAATAAAAAAAATACGGACTCATGTTTCAAGCTCTTCTCCAGCACGCCACAACACACAGTTCAGCTGACACAGGTAATCCTTGGAAAGGCCATAACTGTATGAAGATATTTGCCTGTTGAATAGACACAGATGAAGCACACAACATTCATATAGAAATGCAGTAACAATAAGCTTTTGGATACAAAACTATCTTTAGAGAAGATTGTGCTTGAAACTACTTGTATAGCTATAATATTGTTTTCTGTTATGTTTAAGAGGCACTGCATAAATATGAAGTTAGTCACCTAATGCACTTAATATTTCTCAGCTGAGGACTATTGCAGTTTTACTCTATGTCTAGGTGCTGATTATACTTTGGTTTGCTTTACAGTAGTAACATTGCACTGGCAACAACAGCTGATACTAAAAGGAAGGCTGGAATTATTTCAAACTGGAGGACCAGAACAAAGGGTTCATGCCTTTACTTCTTTTCATGTTTCTTGGTTAATTCCCCTCTTTCTAGCTGGAGGCTCACACTGCTGTTTATTTTCTTCTCCTTTTGCTGATTCTCCTGGGAGACTTGTTGTACAGCTTGTAGGATAGCAGCTTGCACTATCTGCTTGCTGGCATTCTGTAACCTCACTTCTTGTTCATTTCCAGGTTTCTCACCTATCAAGGAAAAAAATGTAAAATGTAAAAAAAAATGCTCCTACAAACGTATTAAATGTGCAAGGAAAAACTTCTTAACAATCTGTTAATAGAAAGGTAACCCCTGCCTGCCCTGCATTCTGCCCTAAAACTGATAGTGTCCCTTCCCATGTGTTTCCACTTGACTTGTTAAACTCTTGGCTGGCTCTGCAGCTATTCTCTATGAAGGGAACATGCTAGTTGGTTTGCGGGGAAAATTGCAAATAGATAGGACTTCTTTAAGTTACAGCAATTTTAATGTGGTTTCAGTCCAAGAGTAGCTTGTTTGGCATATGCCAGATTCCCCATTGTGTTTCTTGAGCTTAGGGGGACACTTAGGAAAAATCTCTTAGGGAATCTGATGGTTACAGAAAGAAGAAGAACTTCAGAGTGGATTAAAAATTGCATAAAAGCCTCCACACCATATGCAAACAGAAACTTTTGCATGCACATACCAGAGCTGTTTTATCCACCCCTGAACTTCAAAATGTTTGCATCTTGTGATCAAATCCCTCTCATTCTTTTTTGTTGCTAATGTCAGATTGCTACACACCAGCTTTAACAATGCTCATATGCCCCAGGCAGGAAGCATGTTCAAGGTTATCATACTACTGTAAATCTTTGAACCAATAATTCTCACTCGCTTTGTTCCCATATCCTTGCAAAAAATTGGTGAGGTGTTACTGTAAAGCTAACCCACTAAATGCTTGATTCTGCTTACATTTAACAGATGTGAGTCAGTAGTTCCACTGAGGCCAATGAAGTTACACAGGTGTAAAATGGAGTTTAGTGAAAGTAGAATCAGATACTTGGCAGGAAACTGAAGCCGCATCTCTCATGAACTAAAGGAGACCAATGGCAGCATGGTCAATGAGGTATATTGGAGGAAAATCTTAGACTGTGGAGAAAATGTATTAGTCATCACTTGCCCTGAATTGTTTGCAGGAGGAGAGGTTTGAGACATATGAAAATGTTCCTTTATAGATTATTTTTCTACAGCAACTATCCTTTTATTACTCAAATCACCCCTTTTGCTTATTCACCTGAAAGAAATCACAGCACTGACAATATCTTAGGAAAATTTACCCAAGGAAGATTTTTTTAATCCCTCCCCCTCTCAGAAGATATGGTTGTTTTTAACTCCTTGATAGTGTCTTACAGTACACTACTTCTGTTTCTACCTAAAGACCCATGAATTTACATTTTCATCTATGAAATTTTGACTACTATTTTGCAATGGACATCTTACATAGCAACTGTACAAGTGGGTGCACAGCCTTTATCTTTAGGAGCAACTTCATCTCCTCGCACAGGTATGCAATCAAATGTGATGCATGTTGATATATGATTACATAACTTACGGGAGAACATCAGAGATTATAAGGACATGTTGCATAAAGAAAGGCTATGCATTTTAAAGAAGAAAGGAAGTTGGGGGTTAAAGTTTAACGTTCTGGTTTACAAGGAGAGCAATTTCAGCAAACGTAAATACAACACATGCTCTTTATGTTTTTGTTTGCCTTTTCATAAACAGTGTTTAACATAATCTTCTTAAGAAATGTCTGAGTATTAATTTAGAATTTTTGATTAAAGATATAAGGATTAATTTCTCAGATCTATGTACAATTTTAATTTATGTACATATTTCTAAGGCTGAACTAACTTTCAAGCAAATTAGTATTTTTAAAATGCATATTGGTAGTACTTAAGTATATTTTCCATCCAGAACATTTGTCATAGTTTTTATGAATACATACATTTGGATTAGAAGACTCAGCCTTTAATAGGAACATCTTTATTAACCTCTGTTCTAGTGTGTTAGATGATGTATTATGCTACTTATTTGCACAAGGTGGCACAACAGTTTTGATCTTCACACGATTTAGTCTGAATAGAGATGTGCATATGAACAAAATATTCTGCAGTGTAAAAAAACCCCAATTTAAATCATTTAATGACAAACACTAAAATGAGATTCAGAAATCAACAACTGAAAGCTCAAACGAAATTCCAAACCAGGATGGAAGTGTGGGTAAAAGAAACTATGCTTAAATGAAAACTAACTTAACCTCTTCATGTATAATATTAATAAAGGTAGAGAATATGTAATTGAAGTATGGATTAAGTGGCATCATTGCTTTATATCTTTATGGAAACAGTTACAAGGTATTGACCGTACTGAACTTGTTAACAACCTCTTGGCAAATGGGCTCCTGCATGAAGTTTGTTGCCAGATCAGGTCCTTAGTTTGCAACATTCTTGGTTTGTACTGACGGAAAATGACTTAACAGGGATGTTATTTTCATTAACTCACTTTAAATTGCCCAGCCTAGGCCTGATGGTATGTGGCTGTGCAGTGCCCAGACTTGAAGGAGGAGTTTCAAGTTGTTGAGCACCAACTCATTTTATCTTAAAGTTCAGTACATAATTCATGATGTAGGAAAGCAAGAATGAAAAAACAGGTCAAAATAATTATTAACCTTGAAGATGAAACCCCTACTTAGTTGCGGGGGGGTATGCTAGAGGGGAGTTTGTCATGGCTTAGGAAACACTGCAGCTAGAGGCAACCAACATTATAACAATTATTGAAGTAAAGGAAAGCTTTACTTGACCAGGACAAAGAACAGTTACTTCAGACATAATCTCTTCTGCACATCTCTCTAATGTTACACCTTTGAGAGAGAATGAACCCTTGGTTTCACTTCCCAGATTAGTGGCAGCCCTGCTTCAGTACATCATAGATAGGCAAAAGGATTTAATTTAGTCTTGATGAATTGTGTTTGGGGTATCACAGATAACCTAAATCATTTATAAACAGGCAAATTGAGTTATCATAACTGAATGCCACAAAACTATTTACCTTAGTTACTTAAAAGAGGCCATTAAAGGAGTTGCATTTAGTCAGGAAACTTAAAGCAGAAGTTAATCCCATTATTTCTCTGTTTGCCAAAGTTCAGCCTTTGGTTTCTCTTCATACTGCACATTCCAAATAATTTGGTGTTTATTAGGAGGAGATGTTAACTTTTTAACTACAATAATCTCCCCTTAATATCAGAAAAATTGAACTAGTTCCATGGGAGCAGTGCTTTAGAATCTGGTCTCACCGATAAGTATCAGGAATGTTGTTGTAGTTTCATGCTGAAACAGCATGAAACTACAGGTGCCTTGTGTACCTGTACAACACAGCTACAGGTAGGGTTGTGTTGTAGCCTCTTTGCTCTTCTTTTTAGCTGTCAACTGCTTGCTTGAGTGGGTGAACCAAATACACTGTAATGGGTGCTGTGAAGTGGCAGCTTTTTTGCTAAGTGGAGTGAAGGAGAACTGTCGTTTATAAAAGCTTCTGGTTTCAGTAATGCTTCCTTATATTCCTTTTTGCTTGTAACCCCAATTGTACAGAAATGGAAGGTATTTTACCTGTTTTAGCATATTTTATAATTTTATCTCTGAAAAAGAAAGAGTATGTCTATACCAAACTCATGATTTGTACAAAGAATTGTGTCCTGTGAGGAAACAGTCCCATTGATTAGAAATCATTTGATCAAAAGTCAAACTCTCAATCTGCCTGCATAGTTCATTCACAACTTAAAGTGTATTCAAATAGTGTATAGTGAAATTGTATATAAAAAGCACAAATGCTAATATCTGATGCTGATATTCCAAAGTATAGCATAAAAAACAAGTGTATAAAGAATTAAAACAAAATGGAAGTGTTAAAAGTTTTGTTGAGTCTGTATACCTACATCTGGGGGTTTTATGATCCAGGGTATTATCATTGCTGACACAGATTCATAGTTGTTAGGGTTGGAAGGACCTAGGAGGTCATCAAGACCGACCCCTTGACCTGGGCAGGAAAGAGCACTGGGGTCAGATGACATGAGACACATCAGATTCTTTCTTCAGGTAAGAAAGCAGAAAAACAGAAACCTCTTGAAATGTCTTTAAATAGCCAGAGCATCTCATTTAATAAAATAGCCAGTACGAATAAATTATATTCTTCAAACATCAAGAGTATAGAAATTAAGATATTTTTAAAACTGTAAGAGCCAGGTGAGTTTGTAATGATCTATCATAATAACACAGTATAATAACAGTAATTATTAATGATTTTTGCATCAGTTCTGATGTACCCCTGCCCCACTCATTCCTGAGAATGAAGAGCTGTGCTTTGGTTTTTAGGTTTGCAACAGTAGCTGGAAGAGTGATATTTTCCTCTACCCACCAGACTAATATTTGGAAAACCTTAGTAAGGCTCTTCCCTGGGGTATTTTGTAATGTGTAACATGATTCTGTAGATATAACTCACAGCAAAAGATAAAAAAGCTTCTGCATTAATTGCATTTTTAATTTGTTTCAATACTGAAAACCCAACCAAAATGAGTAGATTTTGAGAAGAGATTTAAAGGTTTCCTGGAGTCATAGATCAGGGCATGGATTAGTCATGTTGACCACTGACAGACATAGAAAAAAACCCCAAAACAGCATTGTACTTCCAGCTTGGCGTGCCCCTACACCAGGGGTGAGCAATTATTTCGGGCAGAGGGCCACTTACTGAGTTTTGGCAAGCCTTCAAGGGCCGCGTGACAAGCAGCCAGGGGCAGATAAATATTAATTTTCTAAATGTTTTAGGGGTCCCGCAGGCCAGATGGAATGGCCTGGTGGGCCGCATCTGGCCCGCAGGCTGCATTTTGCCCACACCTGCCCTACACTGAGTGCAGCGCATGCCCAGAAGAGGAACCACATCAGTTTGACCTGGCTCCCCAGCATCTGTGTATAGATGGCACGCTTCAGTGGGGCTTTTTGGTGCTTTTATCCAGTAGCTGATTCAGTGAGGCTTTTACCAATCAGCTATTAAAGAAAAGTGCCAAAAAGCCTCGGTGATGTATACGATCTATACAGTCCCTTGGGAGGTAGGCCAAACTGATATGGTTCCTCTTCTGGTAAAGCACTGTTTTTTTTCCCCCACATCTATCAGTGCCCATTGA